TGGGGTATGCACATCCCTGCAGGCAATGGCAGCATGCCGGGGAGGTGAAGCCACAGGATAAACACAGGGTGTCTTACTTCAGTGTAAATATTGCTTAAAGATTTGAGGGGAGTTGAGGAACCACTCTGTTTTTATATTGAAACAAGATTGATTATAAAGGAGAATGCACATTTTACAAAAATTTTAAAGATTACAGGCTGATTCCTCAGGCTATTATCCCAGCTAATGGAGGTAAAAGTTCTCTGTTCATGTAGCTAGTGAAACTTTTTATTTATTTATTTATGTAGTATGAAAATGTCTATAAACAATCTTTTATCCAAAAAGGGCCTTCATTAACTTCCATCATTGACATTCCATAGCCAAATTTATGTTGTTCATGATTACTAAATTATAACTTTTTCTTAAAGATGGAATGCATTTAGATCTTATAATAAACTGAGGATTCGTTCAAGTAATAAAGTGATGGCTAGAGGTCAACACTCCAGAAAAAGGGCAGAAAGGTTATCACAAAAGAGTTCCTGAGTTTCTTTCCTAGGAAAAAGTTCTATTGTGTTTTAATAAAATTTATTTTTTTAATCCTAAGATTCAACCAAACTTAAGAACATAATTATTTTACAATAAAGACTTGATTACTTAACCTGTGATTTGAGACAAATCTAGCTGCTTAAATTATTGACTTCTGAGATCACATTTTTAAAATATCACATTTGTTTAATGTACAAAATTGAACAAGTTGGTCCCATATCTTAGCTATGATAAACAATGCTACCATGAACATGATTGTGCTAGTAGCTTTAGTGGGGCTTTGTTTGGAGTCTATTGGATAAATGTCCAGGAGTAGAATTGCTGAGGCATAAAGAAGCTCTATATTTAGTCTTCTGAGGAACCTCCATACTGCTTTCCAAATGGTTGAACAACAGTGTGGTAGCATTCCCTTTTGGCCACATCCCCACCAGCATCTGTTATTGTTAGTTTTCTTGATAATGGCCATTCTAACTGGGTGATGTGAAATCTCAATGTTGTTTTGATTTGCATTTCTTTTAGGCCAGAGATGTCAAATATTTCTTCATGTACCTATTGGCCATTTTTACTTCTTCTTCTGAGAAGTCTCTCATTAAGTCTCTAGCCCATTTATTAATTGGGTAGTTGTTTCTTTGAGAGTTTAGGGTTTTTTTAGCTCTAGTATATTATAGATATGAGACTTTTGCCTGATGCCCCTCAGCAGATGATTGGATCAAGAAAATGTGGTATATATTCACAATGGAATTCTATACTTCCATCAGAAAGAATGATGTCCCATTCATAAGGAAATCAAAAGATTTGGAAAAAATGTATTAAGTGAAGTCAGATCCAAAGAAATAGAAGTTGAATGGTTTCCCTCATTTGTTGCAACTAGAAAGTATCTATAAATCTATCTATAAATCTGAATGGTAAAAGACAAAAAAATACACTTGGACATGAAAAATTATATAGGACCCTAAACATTCATACAGTGAGACCAAAGGAAGATATTCTTAGGAAGGGATCACAAAGGTTCAATAGCTATGGATGTATGAGTATATAAAATGATGTTTATCAAAAAGAACAAGGTTTTATGTTATTTTGCTTCTTTGTTTTTTTTCTCCTTTGTCACTGTTTTTTTATTTCTTTATCTTTTATATTGTAAATAAGTTTATCTGTTTTGGGGCGGGTAAGGTTGAGCACAGAAATGGTGGGGCAAATGGTGAACAAACGCAGCAGTGATACTCACTAGATACTATGTTGAAAATGAACTATATGACTTGTGGGGGAGGGGAAGGCGGGGTGGGGGGAAACAAGGAGAAAACGAGGTAAGAGTTGACACTGTTCAAAAAGAAATGTGCTCATTATCTGACATATATGACTGTAACTCCTCTGTAGATCACCTTTATAATAACAATAATCAAATTTTATAAAAGAAATGTACTCATTACCTAACTTATGTAACTTTAACAGCTCTGTACATCACCTTTACAATAACAGGGTTGTTTTTTTTTTTTAAATCAAACAGTATCAAAGATGGAGTTCTTCTTCTCTGGAGGTAGAGGAGGGGTTACTTTGCCAATGCTGCTCTATGAGAAGGAGTAGGACTGTTGTGGAGTACTCACACCATTCCCTTGGTTTTCAGTGGAGGAGGAAGAGGAGGAGGAGAAAGAAACTGGCATCTCTGCTTGAAATGAAGGCACTTCCTAAGCAAATCCTATGTTATAGAAGTAAGCAGTAGATCTCTCTCTAGAAAAGTCTGATGGATCTAAGCATGCATCTACAAGTTTTTGACATGTTTTGTGACTAAGGAAATGCCTCTCTAAAGAATCTGTTAACACTTTTTTACATTAACTTTTTAAAAATTATTGCAGAATAGAAAATGATTTCTTGATAGTTGACAACTTACTAGATTGTATCTGGTTTAATTCTCAATAAAAATCATACCTGCTTATAATAAAAAAAAATCAAACAAGTTGCATGCATTTTCATTTTTCCATGTAGTATATTCATGAATAGTATCTGAAATGTTCTGTCACATTAATGGCAAAATGAAAGATAATACATTGCTGGCAGCTGAGCACTGGAGTCTCGTGCTTTTGTAATCCTAGTTGCTCAGGAGACTGAGTTGTAAGGATCACAATTTGAAGAGAGCCCTTGCAGCAAAGTCTATGAGACTCTTACATCTAATTAACCACACACACACACACACACACACACACACACACACACACACACAGTGGAGCTGTAGCTCAAGTGGAGGAAAGCCAACCTTGAGTAAAAAAATAAAGGGACAGTGCCCAGGCATTGAGTTCAAGCACTAGTACCAGCACAGACAAAATAAATCCTAGCTACTTGCAAGGCTGAGAATTGGAGGATCAAAGTTTGAAAACATGCTAGTCATGACGTCCTTTCTCTGCCCCTTACAGGGTAGAATGTCATGAATCTTCCACCCCAAGTTACCAGGAAAACTGAGATTGAGAAGAATTTTGGTGTGAGGCCAGCCCAGGCAGGAAAATCTAAGACTTCTCATCTCCATTGAAGGAAGTTGTACACCTTGGGGGCACATTTGTGATCCCAAGAAGGACAGAAAGCCTCAAAGTAGACAGGTAAGGGCAGTCAAGGAGGAAATGGAACCAAACTCTAAAAACAACCAATGTATCTCAGTGTTATCACACCTGCATAGCAAGTCTGAGTGAGTTCAAACTCAGAGGAGAGGAAAGGGAGAATAAAATAGTTCTAAACCCTTATTCCTTCCATGATACTTGGAGAACTATTTTTTTTAATCCCCATCCCAAACCCAAATTCTTTTTATAAGTACTGAAACACAGATTTGTCCATCATGGGGCTTGAACTCTGGGTCTGGGATGCTGTCCCTCAGCTCTTCAGCTCAAAGCTCCCGCTCTACCACTTGAGCCACAGTGACACTTCTGGTTTTCTGAATGGTTTATTGGAGATAAGAGTCTCATAGACTTTCCTGCCTGGGCTGGCTTTGAACTGCCTCGATCCTCAGATCTCAACTTCCTGAATAGTTAGGATTACAGGTGTGAGCCATCAGTGCCTGGCTTTCCACTGAGATTTAATTTTGAGTTGCATCCCAACACCAGTTTTTACAATGCAAATAGCCAGACTCATTTCAAAGAACCACACTAGATTCCTAAATTTCAAGTTTACAAGTAGAGCCTAGAAACAAACTGATTCAATTCCATCAATATTAAGTGTATCGTGTGTTAGACAGCGTAAGATAAAGTTGTCACAAATAGATCCTGCTGCCAAAGCTACCTAAGTGAAGAGAAATCATTCCTACACAAATGAAATTACAAAATAGTCAACGACTAAGGCCCCAATACAGCTAAGAAAGACATTAATTTTTTTTAATTCAAATTTAGAAGATACTGGGTTAATAATGGCCTACAGGTCTGTTTTCTGTCAGAGGGAGGATTTCTACACTAATAAAGTGATTCAAATCTTGGGGAGCTTTAGTAGCCCCTCCTCCATCCCTGATCGGAGGCATTGGTACAAGGTGTAAGAGGGTGCCAAAAACTCAGCATTTAAAGGAAGTATCTTTACACTATATCAATAAATCGTTTAATGCTATTTTGTTCTAAATAAAAATTCATGCAAAAAATTATATTAAGTAAGTCAGGCCCAAAGAGACATAGGTCCCAAGGTTTCCCTTATTTGCAATTACTAATATATGTCTGAGACAAGCAGAAACGGTCAGATAAGTTGATGTTAGGCAAAACGAACCCCAAGATAAGGACTCAAATGGTTTTTCTTTCTTGAGATTGTTTTTTAACATATTTATAAGATGATATGTAGAAAAATGAACTTTACAACTTTGGCAAGGGGGGGAGGGGGGACTGGGGTGGAGGGGGGGGAAGGGAAGAGATGGGATGGGGAAACAAAAGAGGAAGCAACAATGTTTGATAAGAAATGAAGAAATATAGTCATTACCTTGCTCATGTAATTATAACCCCTCTGTACGGTATTTTCACAATAAAAACAATTCATGCAAATAAAAATCCGTAATGAACAAAATACCAAATTTTAAATAAAGACGGGGGCCATGGTACTGATTTTTCCTCTTTGTGTTAGCTTCTTCTGTGAATCTGATCCACTCTATCCTGTATCGGTAGGGTATGGTCGCCAGCCTAAACTAATTTCCAGAAACCTAAATCGTCTGATGTTCTCTCGATTCAAAGACTTGATTGCCCATTGGGTGCTGTCCAGGCCTTCTGGCTTACTCTGGGCTCTGGCAGAGCTTACCCTCCCTACCCCCCCCCCCCCCGCCCATCTGGCCTCCCCGGCATCAGGGGCCCTACCAGGGCCGTATGCTGCCGCATGGCACAAGCACACGTCACAGAAGTCGGGGTCTGGCTTCACAGAAGTCGGGGTCTGGCTTCAAATCTTCCCTCATTTGAAATGGCTTTCAGTCGACGAGAATGTGATAAGCGAACAGTGAGCCTAGGCCAAGCCCAGTGGATTATCCTTGCGATATGGCGATGTCTTGGGCACCTGTGAACCACTGGTCGTTTGCTTTCCCATTCCGTAGAATACCAAGGAACTTGGAAATGGCCCTACTGCGTAGTCTGAAGGTGAGAGGGGTGCCCCTGGAGCCCTGCGGGGTGGGGTAAGGTAAAACCTCTCCCATCCAAACTCCTTAGCACGTTATTCGGCCGTAAGCTTGCCATGCGTACTGCAGATAGGGACGGGAATTAATCATCAGGGAGGATGGGGCTTGAACTCAGGGCTTGGGCACTGTCTCTAAGCTCTTTTCTGCTCAAATCTGGCACATTACCATGTGAACTGCAGCTCTACTTCCAGCTTTTCGGTGGTTAAATGGAGATGAGTCTCTGGGCTTTTCAGTCCAGGCTGGTTTCATACTGAGATCCTTAGCCCTCAGCTTCCGGAATAGTTAGGATTGTACTCCACTGGCATTTCTTCCATAGATTTTGATGCAAACTTTATTCTGATACCACAATTTAACAATATTTTTCCATTTGAAACTACCACAGAAGTTTACCTGAAAATAATGCTCAAATTCTAAGGCATTGGACAGTAAATAAAGCTTCTATTCTCTCCCCATTCTAGCACTGTTCAACATCTTGCTTCTGTATTAGATTTTTTTTTGTTATATTAACCTTACATCTGACATTTCCCCTCATCAGACTACTGATAATTTCTCTCCAAATTCAGTCTCTTTTGTGAATGCCATCCTCTCCCATCAAGTGTAATATTGTGGACTGAAATTCTATCCTCTTGAAAACTCCCATACTGTTTCTCCTCTATCTTTACAACTTATCTCATGACTCCATTCCATTAGCCTCCTGCTGGCCATTCAATCAAACACGTTTCTATTATCTTTTTTTTTTTTGGGGGGGGGCTATGGGGCCTGGACTCCTGGCCTGGGCGCTGTCCCTCAGCTCTTCAGCTCAAGGCTAGCACCCTACCACTTGAACCACAGGGCCACTTCCAGCTTTTTCTGCTTATGTGGTGCTGAGGAATTGAACCTAGGCCCTCATGCATGCAAGGCAAGCACTCTACCACAGAGCCACCTTCCCAGCCCATTTCTATTATCTTACACAAGTCCCACTCTCTCCTGTGGGTTAACATGACTTGCAGGATCTGCATACCTATCCTACCATCTCCGATGAGCTCCACATGCTTTCAACACTTTTCTAGTGGATACCTTGATCTCTAGGTTGTAGCAGTGCCAACATCGTAGCATTTCTCATCTCACTTCATCTTCCTTCCCGGCCTTTTCAACTTCAAGTCATCCTATCACTATTATCACCACCTGTGGCTTCCCCAGCCTTTCTTCTCTGCCTCCAGTTACTTGACATATCTGTTCACTGATCATATTATCTGTCCCACCTTCCATCACACTGGGGCCAGATCATTCACTCTTGCCTCAGTGTTCTAGAGCTGTCCTGTCTCTGCCCTTTCTCCACCCCAGACCACTGGAATACCTTGCTGCTAGAAGACTTTTCCTGAAGCCTAGTTTGTCACATCTTTTCTCCAATTCAAAGGCCCAATGTTGAGTCCAATGTTCAATTACTCAATAGTTAATTATGGCCATACTTTTAAGATACCAATAAAGCAAGAGCACTAAAGATGAAGGACGAAGAAAAATGCTCCTGAAGTTACTTCATATTGGACATTGTTTAAAAGCATTGATGTTGCTGAGACCCAGTGCATCTCTGACCTCTCTCCCTCCCTCCTTCCCTCCCTCCTTCCCTCCCTCCCTCCCTCCCTCCCTCCCTCCCTCTCTCTCTCTCTCTCTCTCTCTCTCTCTCTCTCTCTCACACACACACACACACACACACACCAGAAAGTGGAGCTGTGGCACAAGTGGGAGAATGCTAGCTTTGAGCACAAAAGCTCAGACTTTGCCCTAGGTCCTGTGTTCAAGCCTCAAAACCAGCTCAAACAAAATGATGCTGCCAGGAGCTGGTGGCTCATTCTTGTGAATCCTAGATACTCATGAGACTGAGAACTAGAGGATTATGGTTCAAAGCCGGCCTGGAAGAAAAGTTTCCTGAAATGCCAGCTTCATTTAACCAGAAAAATGCTGGACTCGAAGCCTGGCTCAATTGGTAGCACTCTAGCCAGAAGCAAACAAGTGGAGCAAGAGCATGCAACCCTGAGCTTGAGCAGAAGAGAAAGGAATACAGAACAGGAAAGGGAGAAGAGAGAGATGCATTGACGTAATTATCATGGGGAAAGATTAGGAATTTGTTGAACTTCCTTATGTGTATTTTACCAGTTAATTAGCATATGTAATTCATACATATGAGGATGAATCATATTAAATTGTAAATTAATTGTTCATGACAGCTTATATAAAATATGTGATTTTTCATCAAGCTTTCTAAGCCTGTGAACATTTTATTTGGGTGCCGAATAAGTGCATACTTGGAAACCTAAATTCCAAAATTTGTCCTCATAATAGATCTTCACCCACCTTTCTTAATTTACTTCCATAATTGCCATTTTCATGCTTTCCTAGCAGCTAAGAGCTATAAGACCCTACGGATCTCACTCTGTCTTTGTGTACTCACTCCCTTCTTACATCAATATCCTCTTTTCTTTTCTTCCTGCTCTTAAAGCCCTTCTGTTGGTTCTATCCAAAGTACCCAGCTAATCAGGAATGTCTTATTCCTCTGTGTTTGCCAGCTCATGCATCCTTTTTTTCTTAAAACCCATACTGTTTGCAACCTTCTCATATAGTATTGTGTTGCTTCCTCCTCCACCTAAAAGAAAAATGTTCATAGAGAGTAGATATTTCACATGACTCATTGCTACATCTATTAGCTAGTCACAAACGAAACTAGTTACACAGCTCAGAGGTTTACGATGTAAGAAATGGTGGAGTAATTTGTTTAAACCTACTTTTTTAATATTCACCTTCAAGAATGCTTCTTGTGTGTAGAAAATGATATGTCAAAGAGCAAACATAGGTTTACCATACAATCCAATCCAACTTCTGAATATTTACCCAAATGAAGTGAAAGGCGGGACTCTCACAAATCTGTGAACTCCTATATTTGTAGGAACATTCACAATAGCCAAAAGGTGGATCAGCCAAGTGTCCAAGGACAAGCTATTTAACCTAAGAAAATGAAAGAATTTGTAATACATACTAGAGCATAAATAAACTTTGAGGAGATTATGCTGAATAAAATAGGCCCATCACAACATGGACAAATACTGTAGAATTCTGCTTTATGAGGTATCTAAAGTAGTCAAACTCATAGAAACAAAGTAGAATGGCAGTTGCTAGGGATGGAAGGAGGAGTGAATAAGGAGTTATTATTGAATGGGTGCTGAGCTTCTGTTCTAGGTGAAAAGTTCCAGAAGTGTAAGGTGGTGGCTACACAGCCGTGTGAATGTGGTTTGTGTGGAGATACATAATTCCACAAATTATAAACTTAAAAATGGAAAAATTGGCAAATGGTATGGTATGTATAATTTGCCACAATTTAAAAGAATACATAGTCATGGAGAAGATGCTGCATTGTGCTTCTTTAGATAAAGAAAGAAAGGTCCCATTGCTGAAACTCAGTGTGGCTGGGAACTGTCAACAACCTGAACAACAACCTGAAACTTCATGGCATATTTTCTTGTTTCTTGGTACTTCGATATTAGTACTTCTTACCACATTTGTTCAAAACTATTGGTTGGAAATAAATATGCTACAATTTACAAAAGTATCAGTAAATGCCAGAGGTTTGTAAACTATGCAGATTTTTTCCTTTTTGCTTTCATCTCTTAGTTTTCTAAATTTGTTTCAAATCCTTAAATATTTGTTCTGTGGCTAAAATTTTCAAAATATGTCCTACTTACTGATTATCAAATATTCACTATCAATAAATATCACTTGATAACCTTATCAAATTATAAAATAATTTGATTATTATTTGAATGTTATTATCCATAGATATCATTAATAGATATTATTAATTTGATGAAAAATACCAGATACTTATTATCAAATGTTTTTATTATAGATTATTTAAACATTTAGACATTTGCTGCCTTAGCTGAGCATAGTTGCATGGCACATGATTGTAAGTCCCAGTTGACTGAAAAGCTGAGCCAAGAGGATGGAGGATCACTTGAGCCCAGTCTGTGTAGCAAAAGGTGTGTGTGTGTGTGTGTGTGTGTGTGTGTGTGTGAAAGTTCTGGGGCTGGGAAGGTGGCTTATTGGTACAGTGCTTGCCTTGCATGCATGAGGCCCTGGGTTCGATTCCTCAGCTGGAAGTGGCGCTGTGGCTCAAGTGGTAGAGCAATGGCCTTGAGCTGAAGAGCTCAGGGACAGTGCTTAGGCCAAGAGTTCAGGCTCCACTGCAGACAAAAAAAAAAAGAAAGACAAAAAAGAAAGAAAGTAGAAGTTCCTTATGATCTCCAGTGATCACTTTTGCTAACAATTAGGAGTTTCTGTATCTTGACATGTATACAAATGTAAAGTCTGACAAAAATACAGTTACACAAATTGTACTGACAATTACTTTTTTTAACTTACAATATATTTTGGTTATCTTTAGATGTCTAGATATCCTTGTGTCTTGGGGTTCTCTAAAGAAACAAGTCCTAAGATACATTCATAAATACAAAGAAATTTATCATGAGAGACTGGCTCACTTGATTATGAAGGCTGAGAAGGCCTATCTGTCCATAAGCTGGAAACCCAAGAAAACCAGGGGTATAGTTCCAATCTCAGCCCAAAGTCCTGAAGATGACAAGTGCTGATATCTGAGAACAGTAAAGGATGGATCTCATAACTCCAGAAGAGAAATGAATTTGTCCTCCTGTCTTTCTAGGGGGTAGGAGGTCATCAACATTTTGGGTGATACTCATCCATGTTTGTGACTTTTGATTACCCAGTCCACCAACTCTAATACCAATCTATTCTGGAAACATACTCACTGAAATGCTCAGAAATAGCATTTTACTAATTATTTGAGCATCTTTTAGCAAAATCAACAAAATTAATCATCCCACCATCTCTCCATATTTTTCAAGTACATAGTATTTTATTATGAAATCACATCTTTTTATTTAATTTTTACTGGTACCAGAGCTTAATGCTCTGCCACTTGAGTCATGCTTCCAATTCAGCATTTTGCTAGTTAACTGGAGAGAGAGTCTCATGAACTTTTCTCCCTAGGCTGACTTCAAACCACATTTCTCTAGGTCTGAATCTCCTGAATAGCTGGGGTCATAAACTAGCACTGGCACCCTGTATGAAATCACATCTTACTCTATAGTCTAATTATTGGACAATATATGTTTAAATAAACAATGATATTCACATTTTTGTGCACTTTTGAATAAAGGATGAATTACTGAATGAAGCTAAAGGTATGATTATAATTTTAGCACCAATGAACATTTTTAATTATACTCTGTTCGGCATTAACCACATTGTGAAGTGTGACTAAGCATACCATGTTCTAAGAGTTTAGCGTTTTACTTAAAATATCCAGATCAACAAACAAGGTTATAATAAAGCCACCAGCACAACCATTTTCATTGCACTATGCACCACAGCCAAGTAATGAATCAGCCCAGATTCCATGGATAAATAGATCCCTCAATATCCTCTCAATGGATAAATAGATCAAACATGGTATATATACACAAGGAAATTTTATCCATCAGAAAGAATAATTTACCAATTGTAAAGACATGGGAAAACTTGGAAAATGATATTAAGTGAAGTCAGACCTAGACAAGCAAAAGTTTCATGATTTCCCTCATTTATGGTGGTTAGAATGTGCCTATAAATCTATAAGTAAATTGGGTGGTATGCAAGGGGTTACAAATGGATTAACTTAAGTATGGTAGATTCTGTGGAAAGCTCAAATAGTCCAATATTGTTGTAAGACAAAGTATAAGTCCAACAAAATAAGCACCAGGAAATGGATACTTGCAAGAGGTGGGTGAGACTAAGAGGGGTTGATGAATAAAAGGGGAGAGAGGGGAGATTGCAGTTAAGAACTCAAGGTATATTTATATTATCACAAAATTAAGAAAAGTAAGGGAAAGGATGGGTCAAAGGCAGGTGAGAATGGCAAAGAGGGTAACACTGATCAAGATGCAGCGTGTTCATGCATTGCTAAATGGCACATTTTTTTAACAACTCCTTAAATGTAATAAAATAAAAATTTAAAAAAACCTCATAGATCAGAAAAACCACACCTGATCCAACAAATTTTTCCAAGAATCAGCTTGGATTACAGGATAACATAATACCCGGAAGGACTACCCAAAGCCTTCATACTCTCAGCCCCTGGCTTCAGCTTCAGTGTGCTTAAGAAGGAACCACAGGAAGTTTGGTATTATAACTTTGCAGCTGCCCTCAATCCCTGGGATATTTAAGTTCATTTTTTAAAATATTTGTTCATCCTATTCAATTTAACTCCTCTTAAAGTTCTCAACTAAATAGCAAAACACATTCTTAGAACTTTATAAATCACATTTTGACATTACAACCTTACCACCCACGACAAATCCTAGCTGAAATTTGGAGATTGTGATTCTGATAATTACAATGTTAGGTTCAAAATCACTGCTATTATGCCTTTCACTTTTGTTGTGTCTTGTGAGTTCTGTTCCTTCATGGCAAATTTTAGACAGACTCTATTTTTTTCATATCATTTTAAATCAGATGACCTACAAATGGTATTTTGCAATTTAAGAAAAAAACTTAAGCAGAAAAAGCAAAGCACTTGAATAGCTGGATTTGTATTCCAATAAAATTTATGGGAATAAAATCCCCTAAATTTCCAAAATTTCCCCTAGTATGTTAGTGATCTGTGAAAATTGACAATACTACTGCTTGTCAAGCAATGGCAATTCAGTTATTCAGGAAAATGACATTTATTCGTTCATTTCTTCTTTTGGCACTTCTTGAGATTTTACTGGTGCCAAACATATGTGGTTGGTAAGTAAAAGAACCTTTTCTAATGATATACAGGACATCTCACTCCCTTTACCTCCAATCCAACATTAGGTGTCTTTTACCAAAGCTATCAAATACTGATTCTTTGAAGTAACATTTCAGAATAGTTATTGAAGTCTAACAGCTATAACCCTAGCTACTCAGGAGGCTCCGATCTGAGAATTGTGGTTTAATGTCAACCTGGGCAGACAAGCCCAAGACATTCTATCTCCAATTAACCAACAAAAAGGCTCCAGCAAAAAGCCACAAGTGGAGGCATAGCTCAAGTGGTAGAATGCCAACTGTGAAAAAAGCCAGTCAAGAGCACCAGGCTGTAAGTTCAAGTTTCAGTACTGGCAGAAAAAAAAATTGAAAAATCATAGTACCCTTCCTGCCTCCTCCTAATGGATCAAAAACTTGCTTTTGGAGTATGCATACACATAAATATTTCTGTGTTCTGATGAACAATTACTTATACCTTTGTGCTCACATTTAAAAATAATGAAATTCAACCACAGAAATGATTAAATAATATAGATTTTAATGGTGGAATTTATGATTGTAGAGAGGTTGTGTTCCATAGTCACCTCTCTTCTGATCTTATTGTAGACATATTGTTATTGGCTGCAATGTCTCAGTATTTTTGCTCATCAGAATGTGGTTTGACAGGTTAATTATATGTTATCAGGCAATTGAAAATCAGCTAAAGCTATGTGGCCACAAGAGGGATATTGATGTCGAGGAGCTGTTTCTTTCTCAAAAGTAAGTATATCTTACATTTTTAAAAAGTTTTTAAATAGGACTCTGATGTTATAATCTTTCATAGATCCAAATGTTCTTTTCCATTTCCCCCTCCTCAGAGACACCCTAAGTATTATATTACTTGTTGAGGCTCACCATTTCTATTGGACTGGCAAGATTAAAATGTATTTTTTTAATCAAAGATTATTGGGCCAGACTCAGTTTGAATCCTCTCTTTCAAGCTGGATGATCTTGCGGGGGAGGGGGGTCATAACCTACCTGTTAGGACTGTTATTTTTAACAAATGAAAACATAGAACATTCAGTTAAATTTGAACTTTGCAGAAATAATTTTGGTAACATTATGTCCCACAAAATATTGAAAATGTTTGTTTTTCAGAAATTTCTCAAATATAGCCCTGTATTCTTTCTCTTATCTAGGAACTTTATTATCTATGTATAAAAATACCACTTTTTCACAGGGCTGCTGTGAAGAGTAGGTTTGTTTGTTGAAATTGGAAAGTATAAATTGGTACACAATATTGTACACATCTGTACAATAGATGATGTTGGTAGGAATAATGATCAATTATAATCATATAATAATAACCCTTATACTATAACCCCTAATAAACCCTCTGTTAATTTTGCTATCAGAATTAAATCCCTCCCTTATATCAAATTTACTTTGAATTCTACAAACATGCTTCTGAGTAGACGTGGATGTCTCAGAGCTTGAGATATAGCTTGAGATCATGGTTAGGATTAGACTCTAATACCATGATTTTCACCAGCCAATGTTCTATGCCCTGTGTAGTCATAGATTGAATTTGCCTAGCAGTGACCCTGATATGATTTGAATGTGATTCCACAGTTGTATGGGAGGAACTTAATCCCCAATGGATCAGTATTGAGATCTCCATGAGTTGATTAGGTCAAGGTGGCTTTGCTTTCATTTATGGATTCATGCTGTTAATCTCAAGAGTAAATTCTTGCTGATAGGGTGAGTTTGTTTGCTCTGTCTTTCTCTACTTCTCCTCCCTCTCTCTCTTTCCTTTTCTTTTCCTCATCATATAATGCTTTCCACAGTGCCATATTGCAGCAAGAAGGCCCTTGTCAGGTATGAGATCCATGACTTCTGACAGTCAGCCTCTAGAATTATAAGACGTTAGTCTCTATGTATTATAAATTGCATGTTCTCAGTCAGGAATTTAGACACAGCAATCTAAAAGGGACTAAGATCCTATTTCTACCCTTCATCTCCTCACCTTCATGCTCTTTATTTCTGTAAATTCTATAGATTATTTTTAGACAGGTATGACATATCTTTATTCACATATAGTCTTTAAAACTCAGCTTTTCTAAAGGAAATGCCCTAGTTTAATCATTTTCATTTCTAGTGATTTGAGTAAGCCTTTTATTAATGAATACATCTTCATTTTACTCTAATTATTTACAGTTAATTTATTTGTCCAGAAAAAAATGTGGCTTTTTTTAGTGGTCTTAAATCTCCTGGTAGCTAGAAAACAAAGAAATAGCCAGGTTGAACATTGTAAAACACAAGTATTGTAGAATGGAACAGATACAGCAAAGAATTCTGACACATTCACAGTCATGCTCTGAACTTTTCTTTTTTTTGGGGGGGGGGGTCTGGTCATAGGGCCCGAACTCTGGGCCTGGGCGCTGTCTCTCAGCTCTTCAGCTCAAGGCTAGCGCTCTACCACTTGAGCCACAGTGCCACTTCCGGCTTTTGCTCTGAACTTTTCTAAAGATCAGTTTTCCACTAATGGTAAATATTTTATAGCTGTCAAAAGATTGCTTGTCATCCTTCCGTGATGTGGATAATAGTACACTATTGATCACTAGGGTAAATAGATAAAAAGGATAGATTTAAAACATTGTCAAAATTTAGCACCTTTCACATGCTAAATATACCAAATTACCATCCAGTCTAGCTGAGCCTAAAATGTTTCACAGTCCAGATGCTAATATACCAGGTGAACTATAATTTTTCCCAAAAGCTCTGTTGCCCTTAGAAAGCAGAAAGTGTGTTACTAATCAGTGTATACTTTAGTAATCACATAGACCACACACTGTGACCAGTGCTGACATGTTGCTGTCAACACCAGTTGGTCCCACCATTAGCGGCAGAATTACCTCTCATTGTCTTCCATTGGCTTCACCTAAAACAAAGGCACTCATTACTGATTCAGAACAGGCTGTGTGCACCATTAAGCTTTCCAACCTGAAAGAGTTAAAATACCTTTAAAAAGTAAATCATGGATGTGGCACTGTGGTTCAAGCGGTAGAGCGCTCGCCTTGAGCTGAAAAGCACGGGGACAGCGCCCAAGCCCACAGTTCAAGACCCATGACCAATTAAAAAAAAAAGGAAATCATTCTAACTATGTGCTGGTGGCTTATCTTTGTAAGCATAGCTACTAAGGAGGCTGTGATCTCAGGATCTGAACCCAGCCTGAGCAGGAAAGTTTGTGAGACTGTGATCTCTAACCACCAAAGAGTTCGAAGTGGATCTGTGACTCAAATGGTAAAACACTACGACCCTGGAGCACAAAAGCTCAGGGACAGAGCCTAGACCCAGAGTCCAAGCCCCAGGACCAGCACTAAATAAATAAATAAACATAAAATCACCCTATGACATTATCTGATAGCTGAAAGTTCAGCATTGATATTACAAGAAAATTAGTAACAACCTACACAGTTAAAATTTTGATGCAATAAATTAAATTTTATGAGCTCCTCTTGAGTGAGTCTTGAAACTTGAAACAATCAATGCCCACGCAGTGATTGTTTAATTATTTGTCATGAGAAGAGGTGAATTTAGCATAGTTCCATAACTGCACCCAAGTGCTGCTTTTCCTGGAAATGCATCATAGATCTAATAGGAGAATGTAGAAAGTTACTATGAGAATGTAGAAAGTATGTAAGTGTGTACATTTCCTACTGAAAGCTGCTTTAGAAAAGCCTGGAATATTTTGTATCAGGAAACTCCTCAAAGACTAAAAGTACATATTAAAAAGTCACACGTGGGTAATTTGAAAAACAAATTTAAGTGATACAAATTAAGCTGGGCATGCTGAAGCAGGTAGAATCTCAGCATGTGGGAGGCGGAGACAGAAGGATCGCCAAGGTTACAGCCAGCCAGGGCAATGTAGTATGACTGACTATCAAAGTAAACAAACAGGACTGGAAAGGTGGCTCAGTGGAAGAGTGCTTGCCTTGCATGCATGAGGCCCTGGGTTCTATTCCTTAGCACCACATAAGCAGAAAAAGCTGGAAGTGGCACTGAGGCTCAAGTGCTAGCCTTAAGTTGAAGAGCTAAGGGACAGCTTCTAGGCCCAGAATTCAGGACCCAGGATTGATTTAAAAAAAAAAAAAAGCAAATGAACAGGGCTGGGAATGTGGTAAAGTGCTTTTTTGCCTAGCATGCTTGAAGCTCTGAGTTTGATTCCTCAGTATCACATAAACAGAAAAAGCCCGAAGTGGCAATGTGGCTCAAATGGCAGAGAGAGAAAAAAAAAAAAAGAATCTGAGGGACAGTGCCCAGGTCCTGAGTTCAAGCCCCAGGACTGGCAAAAAAAAAAAGCAAACAAACAAAATGTACACAAAAGAGTTCACAATTTAAAAACTCTAAATCCAAGATGGGGAAAAGGATGAATGAGTGAATGAATGGATGAAGAGAAAGAGGCAAATGCTCTTTTCAGATCAGTTAGTATTTGTTAGTACATAGAAAAAGAATTACAGCAGAAAAGCCTTAAAACCCAAGCCTATGACTCAGGTGAGGATCATTAGTTGAAGCTGATATCATTAAGAAAATAGTTCATAAGAAAATAATTTTGGGTTGTTCAACCACTTTGGAAAGCGGTTCCTCAAAAGACTCCACATAGAGCTCCCCTATGACCCAGCAATTCCACTTTTAGGCATTTACCCAAATGATAACAAACAAGACCATACTAAAGCTACCAGCACGACTATGTTTATTGCAGCATTATTTACCATGCCTAAGATATGGAACCAACCCAGATACCCCTCAGTAGATGAATGGATCAAGAAAATGTGGTATATATATTCAATGGAATTCTATGCCTCCATCAGAAAGAATGACATTGCCTCATTTGTTAGGAAATGGAAAGACTTGGAAAAAATTATATTAAGCGAAGAAACATAGGTCCCATGGTTTCCCTTATTTGCAATAACTAGTATATGTCTGAGTCAAGCAGAAAAGGTCAGATAAATTGATGTTTGGGGAATGAACTCCAAGATAAGTATTCAAATGTTTTTTTTTGTTTTTTTTTCCTTTCATGCAATTGTTTCTAACATATTTATAAGATGATTTCTTTGTTGCTTTGTATGTCCCTCCCCCACGGTATAACCCCATGCTTTCACTGTATTTGATGTTGGTGTAATTTGTGGAGGGGAAGGGAAAAAACAAATCGTTTAACTAGGGATACAGGGGGACCCATTGCAACAATGAGATGTACAAGTCATGTTGAAAAATGAAATTTACAACTTTGATGGGGGGTGGGGGGAAGGGGGAAGTATGGGAAGGGGAAACAAAGAGGAGGCAACAATGCTTGATAAGAAATGTTTTCGAAGCCGGGAGCTGGTGGCTTACGCCTGTAATCCTAGCTACTCAGGAGGCTGAGATCTGAGGATCACGGTTCAAAGCCAGCCAGGCAGGAGAGACCGTGAGACTCCTATCTCCAATAAACCACCAGCAAACCGGAAGTGGCGCTGTAGCTCAAGTGGTAGAGCGATCGCCTTGAGTTGAAGAGCTGAGGGACAGCGCCCAGGCCCAGAGTTCAAGCCCCACAGCCGACCAAAAAAAAAAAAAGAAATGTTTTCGTTATCTTGCCCATGTAATTGTAACTCCTCTGTACAGTATTCTCACAATAAAAAAAAAAAGAAAATAGTTTTGGGGGGGAGAATGATATATGTGTAATTGAAGTTTGACTCCATATATCATATTTACATTTACATTTAATTTTTAAATGAATTTTTACAACAAAAAGACCTAACCAATATAGCCTTGAACTTTTTTTCCATGAAAATTAGGAAAATGATAGACCTTAAAATCCCAAGATTAAAAACAATTCTGAGACGATCTTACCATAAGTAAGCAGATACACATTATATGAATAAACATTACTTATTTTAAGTACTTATGTGTCTGACATGCACCATGTACTAAGTACTTGATAGATAAAAGATACATATATACATATATATGTGTGTGTGTATGCTTAGGACTCACAGTTTCTACTCTGAGAAACAAAAGAAATTCGAAAACTCTAGGCCACACCAATCAAATGACCATAGGCTCTCTCCCTTCTGTCCAACCCATATCTGCCCCTTTGCCTGAGTTGCATCAGCCATGAAGATCAGGGTCACTTGGACAGATAGAGTCCCCCATTGCTCAAGAAGAGTGGGTAAGATACGGTCCTCACAGTCAGTAAATAGGCAAGCACCCTACTCAGCCTCTGCATCTTGGTATCCTGCAATTTTCTCTTGTCCAACTGACATCATCATCAGCCAATCTCAATGTGAGCCCTGCTTTTTATATTTTCTTGAATATCCAGTACCTTCTTCACTTGCTCCCCGCACTCCCCCACCTGTCTCCTCCAGGAAAATATGCTTTTAAATGAAGTTCCCATAAATTCAGCCATAATAGGATGAAAATTTTGCCAATGTAATAGATAAAATATTCTTTTTCATTAACAAAGACCCAGAAACACAACAAATCAAAGAAAGGTTAGACAAATGGGATTGCATTAAACTACAGAGCTTCTGCATGGAAAAGGACATAGCAAGCAAGATCAGTAGAAAGCCCACAGATTGTGTGAAGATTTTCACTAGCCATACAGCAGACAAGGGCCTCATATCTAAGATATTCTTAGAACTCAAAAAATTAAGTCCCCCAAAAACAAATCCTCAAAAAAACAACTGCCTCATTAATAAGTGGGCTAAAGACTTAAAGAGAGAATTCTCTGAAGAGGAAATAAGAATGGCTAATAGACACATGAAGAAATAATCAACCTCTCTAGCCATAAAAGAAATGCAAATCAAAACAACATTGAGATTCCACCTCACCCCAGTTAGAATGGCTATATTCAAGAACTCTAATAACAACAGATGCTGGAGGGGATGTGGACAGAAGGGAACCTTACTGTACTGTTGGTGGGAGGTTAAACTTGTTCAACCACTCTGCAAAGCAGTATGGAGGTTCCTCAAAAGACTCCACATAGAGCTCCCCTATGACCCAGCAATCTCACTTCTGGGCATTTACCCAAACCACTACAAACAAGGCCAAACTAAAGCTACCACCAAACTATGTTTATCACAGCATTATTCACCATAGCTAAGATATGGAACCAACCCAGATGCCCCTCAGTAGATGAATGGATCAAGAAAATGTGATATATATACATTATATATATATACATATATATATACATCTTGTGCACATATGTATATATATGTATATATTTATACACACACATACACACAATGGAATCTGATGCTTCCTTCAGAAAGAATGACACAGCCCCATTTGTAAGGAAATGGAAAGACTTGAAAAAATGATATTAAGTGAAATAAGGCAGACCCAAAGATATACAACATCAATATTCACAAGACAATATATTGGAAACAATCCATACAACTGTGGGGGGTGGGACTGGAGGGAGGGAAAGTGGGAGAAAAATGAAGGAAGGGGTAACAAGTACGACAAAAAATGTACTTATTACCTTAATTATGTAACTGTAACCCCTCTGTACATCACCTTGACAATAAAAAAGAAATAGAAAAAATATTCTCTTTTAAATATTCTCTTTTAACCACATGAGAAAATCTTAATCCAATGATAGAACTTAAGACATTAACAAGTAAGTATGCCAAGACAATATATTGGAAACAATCCATACAACTGTGGGGGGTGGGACTGGAGGGAGGGAAAGTGGGAGAAAAATGAAGGAAGGGGTAACAAGTACGACAAAAAATGTACTTATTACCTTAATTATGTAACTGTAACCCCTCTGTACATCACCTTGACAATAAAAAAGAAATAGAAAAAATATTCTCTTTTAAATATTCTCTTTTAACCACATGAGAAAATCTTAATCCAATGATAGAACTTAAGACATTAACAAGTAAGTATGCCAAGAATTTTGGAAGGACACTGAAAGAAGCCATTATTGTTACTCGCAGGCCATACTACTTTTATGAACAAGCTTACCCATGGGCAAATTAATCACTGCTAATGTAAAATTTGTTTTCTCTTTCTAGGGAACTGACAGAAGTCATTGATCTTTCTAGATTTAAAAAATTAAAATACTTATGGCTTCATCATAACAAGGTAGTATTTTATCTTTAAATTGCTAAAATATTTTATTTTATGTTTTAACATGACTAATATTTAATACAGCATGTACAGACATAAGGAGATATATAGAGATATAAATATATACTTATAGAGAAGAACTAACATAGAATTATAATATAACTTATACATGTTATATTTACATGCATATATTTGTATATATACACATGCATGTATCCATATATATATAGTACATAGATATCAAGGATATGTGAGTATCTCACATGTTAAATAAAGACAATCTTGGTGTCCTATGAATTGCATCTCAAAGTCCTATCTGGCCAACAACAGAACAAAATAGCCCCAAAGTTAAGACCTTGGAGGAGCCAATTCTTTTTGCCACACATATTTCAAGCCCAAATCTTATCTTTCTTTTTATTTTCTCTGCCCTGTCTCCATTTAACTCTGTTTCACAATGTCTCCCATGTCAAGTCAAAACAGTTCAGTGACTGGGCATTGGTGGCTCACACCTGTAATCCTAGCTACTCAAGAGGCTGAGATATGAGAATTGTGGGTCAAAGTCAGCCTGGCTGACAATTCCCCATAATAATCTCATCTAGAATTATCCACCAGAAGTGGAACTATGGCTCAAAGTGGTAGAGCACTAGCTAGCTAGCCCTGAGCAAAAGACCTTAGGGACAGTGCCCAAGCCCTAAATTCAAGCCCCACAATTGACTGCCTCCCCCCAAAAAACTGTTAAGTGGAGACAATTCCTTCCCAGCCTTCTAGAAGAAATCTTAGACACAACTGGTCATATATAGGTCCATTAGTCATTGTCATAGCATCAATTCATACATGCAAACATTTATTAACTATAACTCTTCATTTACAAATATCACACACACATATCTACAACACACAACCACAACTGAAGCTAAACACAGGTAGCCAGCTGCCCATTTTTATTACATAGGAAGGTCTAGTTGGGTACTCTTTCCTTCCCTGAGCTGGACCCAAGCCTTTGTCTAGGTTGCTATGGAATGGGGATATAAGGAGTAGAGTCAAGGAAGAAGCAAAATTCTTTGTTCTGTATTCTCTAGTACTAGCAGATGCTTATCCAAAGTAAAGGCTTGGTAGTCTGCCTACAGTGCCATTGGTTATCATCTTATAATGCCATTTGTTAAGTGATGGAAACATAAAAAGTGGACCCAAGTAGAAAGAAGTTGAGTAATTGAGGGTGTGCCCTTAAATAAGCGTGTGCCCTTAAGTTAACACATTCCTCCAACACTGACTTTTCTCCACTAGCTACTCTTGCCCTCACCTTACCTTTATCCCAAAGTTACTGGCAACTTAGGGTCTTTGGAACTTGGGAAATACCCCTGATTCAAATTCCAAAGATCCCAGATTCAGCATCCCAGGTTAGCATTCCCACAGGGATCCATCCCACAACTATACCAGGACTCGCACACCTCGGTCCTGCAGTCAAAGGCCAAGCGGGTTGATGAGTCCAACTGCTCCTGAAACCGATTTAGCTTCATCAGGAAGTATCAGGCTGGCATGTCCTCAGAATGCAGGGACATGGCTCCAGGTCACAGAATGTGGTCCCTGAATCCTGACTTAGATCTAGGCTGGGATTTGGTTTGTTCCCACTCACCCTCCCCTCACAGCCAGGGTCTCTGGGTTCTCTCCAGATGATCATCATTATTAGCTAGCCAGGAGGCTGTTTCCAACTTTCAGAATTGTGGCTTTCCAGCAGCCAGCATTTGCCCAAACTTTGTTCATTACACATTGAGGACTCAAGATGCTGAATTTAGACTTCCAAACATCCACCGATAAAGAAATAATTTGTTTCCAGAAGTAATCTGCTTTCCTGTGGAAATCCATGTTTGAAACCCTGAATCTTTAATTGGCCATATTTATGAAAATACATTTCAATATTTCATTGCATTGAAGACCTCTTTTAACTTATTGAATGGAAAACAAAACAGTCCTCCAAGTACTAACTATAAGCATAAGTTTTTGGTGCTTGAAGTAATTTCTAAAAGAACACACATAAATATCATCCAAGTCTCAGGCAGCTAACAAATGAAATGGAAAGTGCATGAACCACTTCAGGGCAGAAAAGTTGAAAACTTTTTCTGAATAGTCTGCCAGAAATTATCTCAGGTCATCTCATGTGACCTCTGATTAAAAAAAGATGGAAATCATCAGGCATGGCAAAAATGACTCATCTTTGCTTTTACTGTGCGTTCCTTGTGGTGTTAAGTGGTATTCAAGAAAGAACAGGTACGAATTTTGGTATTATGTATAAAGGGAGAGATAAAATTAGGGTTTTGTAAATTTTTTGGCTTTCTGAAAGGGTGTGTTCTCCAACCACTTACTGAATTTTTGCACAGTTGACCTGAAGATACATTGTGGACATGGAAAGGTATTGCATGCTCTATCAATTAACTATTTTATTTTATTTTTGAAAGGCATGGGGAGAGATTAAGGTGCACAAGAAACTGAGTGCATGAATATTTACATGCAACAAACTACATTATTGCTATCATTCCCTTCACTTACTTTGTTCTCTAAGAAACAGATTTGGGGAGTTTGTCTAACACTGAAAGGATATCATGTCTGGAAACAGATTTTAAGTAGTAACGGGATAAATGGAATAAGTAGTAATGGAATAAATAAACAAATGTGAGTTTTCTTATTGATTGGTGATTGACTGGTGTTAAGTTTCATGAATGTTTTCTTCCATTAAAAATTTAATTGCTGAATTCTAACAGGAACACTAGCTATTACAGTCTGCATTAATTTTGATTGAGCTTTCTTCAAAATCTAGTGTATAATAAGTTGACCACTATATTATACCATTGTAAAATGGTCTGGAGTGTTGGTAATATGTATGTGCGTGCACACGCACACACATGCGCACATGCATATTTTGAACAATGAAAGTAAATATTTGGCATTGTAATGTTTGTTAAGAATGATCTAAATGTGTGACCAGCATCATTCTTACTTAATGCATATTTTAGGCCACCCTCTATTTAGGAAAGAGTAAGGAATGAATAGTCTCTTAAACTGAACACAATTTTATTTGTTTATTCACTTATTCAATCCACAGTATTCACCGAGGTTTGTGAAGACAGTAGTGGCTGTCTAGTCAATCCATTCTTTTCTTTTTCCTCTCCAACAAAATCTTGGTTTGGGGTTTCATAAATACTCCTCCATCATTTCACTCAAGTAGGTGGCCCCATTACAATTCCATTCTGTTAAACCAACAGTATAATTCCACCCTTCTGGTGAATGGCTGGGCTAATGAATGAGCAAATAACCCAATTAACAATGGCTACGTAGTCTCTGTTGGAAGACCTCAGGAGGAAGTTGGTTTATTCGTATAAGATCATACAAGAAGAGAAATCCCTGTTCTCCCCAGACACTAACTTGACTGGGTGCCAAGGTGAGACCTAGCTGACCAATTCAATGAATCTCAAAATTAGTGGTAGACTCTAGAGAATGATGACAACAATGAGTCTTTCATGACATCTAGACTCTTTGGAAGGTGATATAATATGTGTTCCTGTCTAACATGCTGGATTAGGTTGAGCTCAGAAACTACTTGGCATCCAAGCATCCTAATAGGCGCTGCTTACTTTGAATTCCTATCAGGCTACTGACAGAATAAGTGTGATATTCTCTGCTATAGTGATAAAACTGGGGTGGGGGAAGGCTTAGAGTCTGAGTGAGTCCTTACCACATTGTATGCACAAGCTGCTTGGACTGAGAGAATTCAGGAGGATCACGTGAGTTCAGTAGTTTGAGACTAGCCTGGGTACCATAACAGAACCCCAACATATACCATAGACTCAATAATACAATTGCTTTGAGAAAGATCCTAGGCCCATTCTTACATGCTAAGATGTATTATTGAATCCTTCCTGTTCTCCCAGCATTCAGACACATTAAGATTTTTAATAAATAAATAAAATTTTAGGAAGGAATATTCATGTACCAAATTAGTAAACCACATTTGAAAACATAATTATTTTAATGTTTTGTGATAAATATTTGATAGAGAATTCTTTGGATAGTACAGTATAGTCTTTCTTTATCAGTATTAAGTCTTAAGTAAGTCTTTAAATAAATATTAAGACTTCTATCCAGTAGGTGTCTATATCTACACATAAAGGTGCAATTCCTTTGTGCCTCTAATCATATAAAATAATATTCATTGAAATGAACTCCAGCAAATGGAAACAAGATTTTTTTCTTTGTTGTTGTTTCTATTTTTCTTTTTGTCGTCTTTGTTTGTTTATCTGTCTTTAGGAGGGCAAGGGAGGAACAGAAATGGAAGGAAAAGAGTGAACAAATACAGCAGCGTTACTCACTAGACACTGTGTTGAAAATGAACTATAAAACTTGTGAATGGGAATGGGAGGGAAAAACCTGACTTAGGTAACTGTAAACTCTCTGTGTATACTTTTATAATAACAATAAAAATTTTAAAAATACTTCTACCCAGTAGATGCCTATAACCACAGATAATACAAACCTCTGTGTATATACTATGTTTTCCATACATACCTATGATATAAAATATGATAATTATAATAAATACCATAATAGCACTTGTGTGAATGTGGGTGCGCTCTCTTTCTCTCTCTCTCTCTCATCTTACTCTACTTTTGCAAACTGACTTAAAGTGAGTTTAGGTTTCTTTTGGGAATATTGAAATTGCTAGAATCACTTGTGGTATTCTCTGGGGCCATTATCAAGTAAAACAGGCTCATTTGAGCATAAAAGTTATGGCACTTCAAAGACTACTGCTCACTAATGCCTGTACACTGTGGATATGCTGGACCCTGGCAAGGTGAATCAAGAGCACGTGTGATTTCGTTAAGCTACTCAGAATGGTGTGCCACTAAAATTTTAAGAACTCTTTAGCCAAGGAATTTTCCATTTAATATTTGTGGACCATGGTTGACCATGAATAATTAAAACCAAGAAAAGTAAGACCACACACAGCACAAGGAGGAGGTTAC